TACAGACATTGAGGTATGGGGGGCGGGGGAGGAATAGCTCAGAGGTTTGAGCATTGGTCTGCTAAATCCAGGGTTGTGAATTCAATCTTTGAGGGGGCCACTTAGGGATCTGGGGCAAAAATCTGTACTTGGTCCTGCTAGTGAAGGCAGGGGGCTGGACTCGATGACCTTTCAAGGTCCCTTCCAGTTCTAGGAGATAGGTATATCTCCATATATTAAAGTGGCTATGTTTGGGTGTGGAGTATAATGAGTGGATACGATGATGAGGATGGATTGACCTTCATTTGGTGAGATTTAATGTTCAGGGAGTTTATAGTTCCAGTTCATATGATCCAATGGAGAAAGTGTCTTGGTCCTTTTCACAAAGTCGAAGAATGATGTCACTCTGGCTCACACCTCCTGGTACTGTCGAGGGGGGAGCAGGCAAGTAAAGTTTGCAGGGTTTGGAGCTCTCTAAAGGTGCCAGAGATTTTCAGAGATGAAACTGGCTGAGAGATTTTTGCGAAGATGATCTGGAGTGAGGGCTTTAAGGCTAAGCAAAATGAGACAGCAAACCTCTGGCTTAAGCAGATTAAATAGAGACCGGCAGTAAGCAGGCTGTCCACACAGATCTGCTGATGCCCCTGAATCCTGACCTACAATACCCCCTACTTCCCAGTCCTGACTCCCCACCCTGTCTGCCAATGCACCTCAACCCTGATCTACAGCCCCCGCTATTCCCATCCTGCCTCTCTCGTGAGCAGAGAGTGCATTGCCCTCCCATTCTTGTTGCTTTGCGCCTACTCCCAAGGGGCTAGACTTTCCAAAGAGCTCAGCTCCTGTTTTAGGCACCCAAGTACCTGCTTTTTGAACCGCTCGGCAAGCGGGGTGCAGGTTGGGGGCAGGACTCTTCTGAAAACCTGGCCCCAATTTTAGGTGCTGGCCCTTGAGCTCTTTGGAAAGTCTAGCCCCTTGGGAGTAGTCGCAAAGCAACAAGAATGGGAGGGCAATGCACTCTCTGCTCACGAGAGAGGCAGGGTGGGAATAGCGGGGGCTGTAGATCAGGGGTGAGGGGCATTGGCAGACAGGGTGGGGAGTCAGGACTGGGAAGTAGGGGGTATTGTAGGTCAGGATTCAGGGGCATCAGCAGATCTGTGTGGACAGCCTGCTTACTGCCGGTCTCTATTTAATCTGCTTAAGCCAGAGGTTTGCTGTCTCATTTTGCTTAGCCTTAAAGCCCTCACTCCAGATCATCTTCGCAAAAATCTCTCAGCCAGTTTCATCTCTGAAAATCTCTGGCACCTTTAGAGAGCTCCAAACCCTGCAAACTTTACTTGCCTGCTCCCCCCTCGACAGTACCAGGAGGTGTGAGCCAGAGTGACATCATTCTTCGACTTTGTGAAAAGGACCAAGACACTTTCTCCATTGGATCATATGAACTGGAACTATAAACTCCCTGAACATTAAATCTCACCAAATGAAGGTCAATCCATCCTCATCATCGTATCCACTCATTATACTCCACACCCAAACATAGCCACTTTAATATATGGAGATATACCTATCTCCTAGAACTGGAAGGGACCTTGAAAGGTCATCGAGTC